GTTCAGGATCCCGGTGGGATTCCCCGGGCAATTCCCGATGCAGGATCCTGGAAAATTCCTGGTGGGACTCCCCGGGCCATTCCCGGTGCAGGATCCCGGTGGGACTCCCGGGCAATTCCCGGTGCAGGATCCCGGGGCCATTCCCAGTTCAGGATCCCGGTGGGATTCCCGGGGCAATTCCCGGTGCAGGTCCTGGTCCAGGATCCCAGAAAATTCCCGGTGCAGGATCCCGGGGCAATTCCCGGTGCAAGATCCCAGTTAAAGATCCAGGAAAATTCCCAGTTCAGGATCCCGGTGCAAGATCCCAGTTAAAGATCCAGGAAAATTCCCAGTTCAGAATCCTGGGGCAATTCCCAGTTCAGGATCCCAGTTCAGAATCCCGGGGCCATTCCCGGTGCAGGATCCCGTGGGCGGTTCCCAGTTTGGGATCCCAGTTTGAGATCCTTGTTTGGGATCCCGGGGCTGTTCCCAGTTTGAGATCCCGGTTTAGGATTCCAGGGCCATTCCCAGTTCAGGATCCCAGTTCAGGATTCCGGGGGCAATTCCCAGTTTGGGGTCCCAGTTGGGGATCCTTGTTTGGGATCCCGGGGCCAATTCCCAGTTTGGGGTCCCAGTTGGGGATCCTGCTGTGATTCCTGGGGCAGATCCCAGTTTGGGATTGCGGGACACGATCCCGGGGCCATTCCCAGTTTGGGATCCCAGTTTGGAATCCCGGTTTAGGATCCTGGGGCCGTTCCCATTTTGGGATCCCGGGGCCGTTCCCGGTTTGGGATCCCGGGGCTGTTCCTGGTTTAGGATCCTGGGGCCGTTCCCGTTTTGGGATCCCGGGGCCGCTCCCGGTTTAGGATCCCGGGGCCGTTCCCGGTTTGGGATCCCGGGGCCGTTCCCGGGGCCATTCCCGGTTTAGGACCACCGGGGCCGTTCCCGGGGCCGTTCCCGGTTTAGGATCCCGAGGCCGTTCCCGGTTTGGGATCCCGGGGCCGTTCCCAGTTTAGGATCCCGGGGCCGTTCCCGGTTTAGGATCCCGAGGCCGTTCCCGGTTTAGGACCCCGGGGCCGCTCCCGGGGCCATTCCCGGTTTAGGACCACCGGGGCCGCTCCCGGTGCCGTTCCCGGTTTAGGACCAGCGGGGCCGCTCCCGGGGCCGTTCCCGGTTTGGGATCCCGGGGCCGTTCCCGGTTTGGGATCCCGGGGCCGCTCCCGGTTTGGGATCCCGGGGCCGTTCCCGGGGCCGTTCCCGGTTTAGGATCCCGAGGCCGTTCCCGGTTTGGGATCCCGGGGCCGCTCCCGGGGGTCCCGCCGCCCCCGGCCCCGCCCGTTCCCCCCCGCTGGCTCCGCCCGGGGCAGCTCCGACCGGGGGCGGGCGGGGAAGTGGAAAGGGAAGCGGCGGATGCTCCGTGCCGGTTCCGACCGGGACCGGCGGCTCCTCCCGGCACCGGTACGAGGGTCTGGGGGGGCCTGGAGGGGTCCTGGGGGTCCCGGGGCAGCGGGAGCCCCGGGCGGTGTCCCGGCACCGGGCGCGGC